ACTTCCTGAGGCACTTCCTGTGGTCCTTCTTCCTGTGGCACTTCCTGAGGCACTTCCTGTGGTCCTTCTTCCTGTGGCACTTCCTGAGGCACTTCTTCCTGTGGTACTTCCTGAGGCACTTTCTGTGGTCCTTCTTCCTGTGGCACTTCCTGAGGTACTTCCTGAGGTCCTTCTTCCTGAGGTACTTCCTGTGGTCCTTCTTCCTGTGGTCCTTCTTCCTGTGGCACTTCCTGAGGCACTTCTTCCTGTGGTACTTCCTGAGGCACTTCCTGTGGTACTTCCTGAGGCACTTCCTGAGGTCCTTCTTCCTGTGGTCCTTCCTATGTCATTTCCTGTGGCACCTCTTCCTGTGGCGCTTTGTGACTTAATTCTGAGCGGGAAAAGGATGACTTTCTGCTCATGCTCTATTAGTTTTCTCATTTTTCACAAGAGCTTGTCAGCTTCAGGTCTGCTCTCTATCAAAGCTAAAGGGAATTGCCTGACAAAAGCCGTATGTCAGACTCTTGACAGAGAAAGCATTCGAAGTCACACCTGGCTAAGAGTTACCGAATGCTCAGGTACAGAAACAACAGGGAAGATTATTTGGACAACAAATGATCTTTTGTTCCAGAGAATCTAAAATATAGTTTAAACTTATCAGCAGAGAGCTTAACTTCTATTACGTTGTTTGCAGACTAGAGTCTGGCGATCAAAGCGGGGTCTAGACCAGAGGCTGTCCGTAAGTGGGATCCAGTTCCACTCCTGGGTCTTTGAGAAGGTTGTCCACCATGATTCTCACATTGATCCACACATGTCAGATCACAGTGCAGATACAGAAAAATGACCTCTTTTTTGCCAGTCCTGGGGCTTGAACTCAGGGCTTGGGCACTGTTACTGAGCTGTTGCTGCTCAAGGCTAGCACTCTATCACTTGAGCCACAGTGCCACTTCCAGCATTTTCTGTGTATGTGGTACTGAGGAATCGAACCCAGGGCTTCATGAATGCTAGGCGAGTACTCTACTACTGAGCTACCTTCCCAGCCCCCACAAAATGACTTCTTTTTGTAGTTACTATTTGATATGAAACTCATTGTTTTTGTAGTAAAAATAATATTCAGGTTATTGGTCCCCAAAGAAAATAACCTCAGATTGAGGCCTCTCCAGAGAACAAAATGGCTCAATAGTTGTCAGTTTAATGGATTACTGCTGCGTTTTAAGGTCCAGGCTCTGTGAAATAGACCACTGATGGTTCACAGGCATCACAACCAGTATGAGCACTGACAGTAGGCCCTGTGTGTTTACCACACGCCTGGCTCATTGTACCTCCCAATGCTGTTTTCATAGGTTTAACTCACAATTCTTAGCTCTATTTCTTCTACCATTGTGAGGTGCACTGTATCCCATTGGGAATAAGAAAACAAATGAGAAGATTGCTAGTTGGTAGTGAAAAATGATATGAGTCACTCAGAGTTCTAGACATCGACTCTTCCACATCATCTCACAAATGACATCCACTAAATGTGAATCCAGACACAAAATGCACGTGCAGACACAAAGGACAAAGTCAACAGGACGACGCCTAGACACAAAATGACAGGTACATTTCTTCCCAGATGGATAAACACAGATTCAATGTAATCAGAAAGTTTAAATTTATGTCAAATACCTTGAAAAAGGAAAAGGCTGAAAAATCTATATACCTCCTACACTGACATTTGAATCTTTAACATTACAAACTTTCCAAGCAGTTTAATTCCTTGAACCGAGGTATCTCTGAGAGTCTGCCCCATCCTCAGAACGGCAAGGCAGCCTTCGAGCAGGCGAAGACGCACGCGGGTCCACTCACACGGCACGTGAGCGGTAAGCCGTGTGGACGGCAGCTGTCCCGGTCTGCTGCCATTTTTACAAGCCAGCAATTTCTGTCACATGAGTACTGACCCATTTGACATGAAATCAGGAAGCACAAGTTCCCACCTCCCGGCCTGGGTGATACAGGCATCTATTGTATATATTTACCAGTTAATAAACGCGGGCGGCCTAATCACAGCCCCTCCTCTTCCCCCTCAGGTCATGCGCCTGACCCCCGATTGCGGTGGGTCTGGACAAGACTTACTTCCAGTTTCACTCCGTCCCTGCAAGTCCCTGTCGCTTACCGTCTGGTTTGAAGGCATCTGAGGAGCGGTAGAGACTGATGGGGGAGTATCGAGGTTGGGGAGACCCTGGCCAGCCAGGTGTTCCCAGTGCAGGGCTGCTGGATCGTGGTCTGGGCTTTGCACCAAAGAGCGGTGAGGATGAACTCTTCTTAATTCTTAATAAAGCAGCATAAGGTGTAGGAGGGCCAGGAAGAGCTTTGGCATATTCTGTAGAAGGAAAACCATAAAGCAATGATCTCTGAAGGCTTAGTTTTTTTTTCAAGGAACTGTGGGAGTTGCAATTTGGTTCACACTACAATCAAAGTGGGAAAGTAATGTGTTTCCATATTGTAAATAATTTATTAAAATTCTACTGGCTGTAATAATAGTCAAGCCCTATGATTCTCTGTCAGGAGTATTTGGGAATCAACGTTTGAGTCTGTCTTGTAAGTACACTATCCATTTGACACATTAACTCAGTGCATTTTTATCATTGCATGAGAAAATGTCAATACAGATGGAGTCCTTGTCAGCTGCCGTGTATTATTTGGATGGAAATGTGTCTAAAGACCTACAGCTCCTGCATCCCATGAGCGTGACGGTCTAAAGGAACTCATGGAGTCTGGTCTGTGTGCTCTGCGATGATCCATGTAGCTCACATGATCAAGTATGGAAACTTACACAACTCCCAATCTTAGTAATTCCTAAGAAATTTCCTGTCCATGTGTTAGTTTGCTTTCTGAGACATTTGGTTAGAAAACACTGCAGGGTCTAAACTGACTCCCACCGCCTCTGCCCTGGGTCCACAGGAGAGGAGCATGGGGCGCAGATCCATTTTCACAAAAGTAGGAACTCATTCCTACAAAGTTTCCACAGCACTTGGGGACATTTGAATTAATGCCTGCTAACATACTACAAAAATCTTGTCTTTGTTAGTAAACTCTCTCATAATAAAAAATCGCTTACAATGCCGTGCTGCCTCATAGATAATGTGGGAGAGAAAGCACACGGGGCATGAAGATGTCAAGTGAGGTTGCACATGTTCCGTCCTGTGGAATTATAAATACGATTTCTCTGAAACTCAAGGAAAGTGTGTCTTTAGAAGCTTTCCAGTTCCAGCAGACATGATGTGTGCAGCTGGGCCTGCAGAAGCTGTTCAGATGCGAGGACCAATTTCCCCGGAAGCAGCTGACCTTTCCTGGGCAGCTGTCTGGGGACAGGTGATGGGGACATAAACTCTCCCTTAAGGCGTGGAAGCAAGTGCACACTTTGGCCCCTAGAGGATAATATAATGGAAAGAACTAATTTTCCTTTAGGGCAGTTTGTAGCTTCTGAGCCTTTCTCTTGTCTGCAGTCTCATGCTTAGCATTTGAACTGTGTGCTCCGATCATTTATAACGAGGACAAAGTAGCACCACGCCAAACATAACGTAGGGAACTATGGCTTATTGTCCTTAAAGCTATGTAAGAGTAATCAGTTAAAAAAAAGCCTAGAAAACTGTAATGCAGTTTTAGAAGCCAGGGTCGCCCCACATCCAAGGTCCACAGGAGGTTTGCAGCCTGCACTCAGGGAGACAAACCTCAGTGTCATTGGCTGTGAGTCCGCCCAGATGCTCACAGACAGACACGTCTCCAGCAAGTCCCTTCTGTCTGTTCTCTCCTGTGTGCACAGACGCTGTGGTGAGCTCGCCCTTCCTGGAGAGGAGTGGTGGATGGGGCGGACGAGTGGGAGCAGCGCTCTGCCGCACCCCCGGCAAGCTGGAGCCACCTCCCCCCCTGCAGCCAGGAGCCGCCAGACACCAGCACATCTACTCCATGTCTCACCTGCTAGTCAACATGTCTGAAAAGATAGCCCTTCACTCCATCCCCAGGCTCTGTGGTGAATTGGACGCGTTTCCCCGTGGGGAGCGTTACTGAGAGTCAGCGCTGGGTTGGGTTCATCAGGCCAGGGCCATCACGCACAGACACAGGTCGTCAGAGCTGTCTAAGTTCCCGGGTGGGATGTGGGGGAGTCTGGGAGACGTGCAAAGCTAAGTGACTCGGAAACGTTTGCGTGTCTAAGACCTCCCTTTCCTTCAAATCTCAAACGTCCCGTTTCCCTTGGTTTATTCCTTCTTCACTAGCGGCCACCACTTTATTCTCCGAACGGCTCCTCACCTGATTCCTGTCATGCCTTACGAACTGCGGTAAAGTCTGCGATTGGGCCACAAAATGGGAGCCTGAGCACCAAATCCCAAAGCTCAACTTCTCCTGAGGAGCTGCAAGAGTGGACCACGGAACGGACGGGGCACTTAGAGTTTGCTAGTGGGTATATTTCCACAAGTAAATTAGGCAAAAACACTTAGCCACTAATGGAAGCGGTGGATTAAAGAACAGTCCACATCTGTCTGTACGGATGGGACTGCATTGGCTGTGGCAAGACCTGCTCCACCCCTCCGTGTGCACCTGGAAGGGAGAGGAACTCTACTTTCCTTTCAGAGAAAGTTGGCGCATCTTTAATAAATACCGACAGTGACAATGTCAGCGGAATCTCTTCCACATTCCTTGCTTCTTCTTCTATTTTCTCGTTCTACAGAGATGGGACCTCAGGGAATGTGCCATGCAGTGATTTCTAAAGTGGCCTGAGATTCTGTGATGAAACTCAATTAACCTAGTGCCCCACGCAGGAAATGCTGGCTCCGAGACGGGGGAGTAAATATGAATGCCTTCATTAAATATTTCCTGATCCAATGACCCAGGGCCATTGCTGTTAGATTATTTAATAAAATCATCGCCTACTAAGTCAAAACGCCATTGCTACCACTAGCAGTCTTGGGGATAACAGCATTGCTTCTCATTACTGAAAAGGTCAGATCATAGGTAAGACATTACCACTGAATGTAAATAATATTAATGAAACAAGATTAGGACATAGAGAAGTAGGATTTCCTTGTGGCAATATTTATGAATTAAAGAAAATAATATGTCAGTATAATAAAAGGTACATTTAAGAGCACTTCCTCTCTTTCAATATTTTAAATACTCTTGAATTTTCCGATACCAATCCAACTTCAGAATTCTATTTATGGTCACAAGGGACTAGAAGTCCTGAAAAGATGGGTAATGTGGACAGAATATCACAACTGGATTCTGTACTTCAACCTTTCCACAAGCTTCCCACATGATGATCTGATCATTCTACAGCTGCATGAAGGCAGGAAAAACACCAGAAATCCTCAGAATGACAGAGCTCTAATGATAAATTCACTCATTCCCTATACATCTAGCTTGATTTTGACTAAAATAGACTGTAACAGCAACAGATTCGTGGCTCTTTAAGAATGTGAATGCTAGCCGCTGAGCCCCAAAGCCAGGCTGGGCAAGACACAGAGGGCAGCGCCGCCCAGCAATGCCAGGCCCGTGACCCCACCGAGGGCAGCATGGCCACGGCCACGCTCACCCGACTCCTTGCAGAAGGAAATCGGATCCCTGACCTTGCTGGGTCACTGCTCATGCGGTCCTCTCCAGTCCTCTCCCGGCGAGAGGTAATGTTAATGCTGCAACTTTAGCCGGGGCTGTTCTCTGGAGCTAGCAAGGAGCGACCTCACACCTCGGCAGGGACTCACGTGGGAAGTGCATTTAGAAACGGTTAATAATTTATAAATATTGTGCATTCTTTCAACTTTGTTTGTGCATCTTGGCATCTTTGAAATAGCCGAATTCAGATACAGTCTATATCTCAACTCAGCATTTTCCCCAGGAAATGTATTATGTGTAAACTTTACAGCATTTTAGCTGTAGGAGCAGAGCCCCGAGAATGAAACTCAAGCACCAAAGCCAGACACAGAAAGCATAATGGTATCAACACGTAAGGGAAAATGTTAACAGCACTGCACTTCTACTGTTCTTTCTGTAAGATTGAAAAATAGATATTCAGGGCAAGCAGAAACCATCTTAAATTATTTCTACTGCTCTGAAGATGCATTCTTTACCTCTGAACTCATAATGATTTTTTATGTGTTGGAGAACTTTATCTTCCTTTCTAAATAGCAAGTGCCTAGTGGTATGTTCAGATATATCATGAAAATATTACATTCAACTGGATATTATATACTTATTTTGAAAAATTATATACTTTTAGTTTGACTGACTGGAATATTTTTCATAGTTGTTACAGGTTTTCTATAATATTTATATAATACCTCCTTAAAATGACACAAACCTAATATGCATTCCATTAGATTGATATTTCCTTCATGATAAGAACAAGAATCACTGAGGAAATCAGCAAGGGCAGGAATTGGTTGTAATGGAAGAATACCCTGTATTTTTGGCTAATTAAAGTTTTAGTGGAGTTTTAAGTCTGTACTGATCACATTAACTTCTACCTTTATTGCCTGTGTGTTTACAATAGATCAGATACTATTTGTAATAAGTTAGAAAAGCAGATGACATTGTTTAGCAATAAATGCTGCAGTGAAGAAGTGGCTGGAATGTGATTTTAGAGTTTACTCTATGGATGCGTAAATAGCGAAGGTGGTGGTTTCATGAGGTTAGTCCTGTGTAGAATCTACGTGGTTTGGGCACCGCCAGCCATGGACCCGGCGTGGAATTGCAGCCTGGGGTTTTATCAGTGGAATTATAAGTGGCTAATAACAAAGGCAGTGGGCATGGCACACACACACACACACACACACACACACACACACACACACACACGGTGATACACAGGTGAAGTCTGCTCTGTACCCAACACAGGAAGGTGACAGGAAACACAAGAGGTAGCAAAATAGCAACCTCTGCCTTCAGAGTTTTCATAAACCCAGAAGTGAAAAACACAGACTGCAAGGAATGGCTATCTCCAGGGAATCTGGACAAACTCAGCACAGACCTGCACAGAGAAAGACTTAATTTCAGTTGTTTTGAAAGAAACTATTTCCATCTTTCCAGGGAAGTATGGGAACTGAGGTTCCATCCAGGCAGCCTGCGTGCGGGCAGGAGGACTGATTTCTGATTGGGCCTGGCAGGAGATGAGCACTAGCTGCATGTAGTTAGGCAGACTGTGAAGAGATGCACAGTCTCCTCGTTCCCAGGCTGGCAGCTTTAATTATTTTTCAAGCAGAGTCTCACATTTTTACCAAGAGCTGCCAGACTCAGACCACCATCCTCCTACCTACAGACTCCTGCAGTTTACAGGTGAAAGCCCAGTAGCCTGACTGACCTTTCAGTTTTATTGAGACGGCCACAGAG